TGTAGCTTTTTTTCCCCAAAAAACTTTGTCTTCAAAATAAGGGACCGTCTTATATTCCGAAAATACGGTACTTTATAATATGTTTGTCAATAATATTCTTAAATAATTTATGAGTCTCTAAAGAAATGAGATGCATATACATGTATTTAATATGGTTCTTTTATTTGTTTGTTTGGAATTAAGCACAAAGCTTCACAATGCGCTATCTGTGCTCTGCCCACCACGGGTATCGAAACCAGATTTCTAGCGTTGTAAGTTGTGGGGGAGGGGGAGGCAATATGGTTCTTTTAGCGTAATAATTAATTTTGATTTAAACGTTTAATCTTTTAATATTATGATTCAATCCGTTTAGAAAGTTAAGCCAAATATCACTGCCTTTACTAAAAAATACAATGCTAAGTCAAATTTGTAAACAAAACTCACATTTATAGATTTTTTTTTGGCTTACGCCCTCTCACCTTTACTCCATAAAAATGCAGATAAAAATTTTCTATCTTCCTGAGACCATCGGGGGTTTTAATAAACTGTGGATCTCCAACGGACTGCACGTGAACAGTTACCTGGAAATGGTTTTTCTTCTGACAAACAAACGAGTCGTCCGTATAACTGAAATTGAACCCTTTATCTGCATCAACCCTATAGTTGAAGGGTGGCCTAAATAAAAGAAAATAACTCGTCTGTCATAATAGAAACAAGTGATTATTTGATTAAAAATTAGGGGTATTAAATCAAAAAAGCATAAGAAAACATATCATTAAGGTGTGAATAATGTAAAGTGATAAGAATAGCGTAGATTACTACACATTCTCGTGTGTCGTTTGTAAGAAAATATATATAGATACACTATGTTGTAATAACACGACAAAGTAAAGTAATCATATGCTACTGGAATATTATGTGTTCATTGCACTTGACTTATTATGGATCTAGACAAATAAGCGGCCAACAACTGCGAGTGTCTAACCTGATAATTACCGACCCCATCGACTTTTTTTTAATTAAATACTTTTACTATAAACCATGTTTGCACTATACTGCTTACATACATGACTTTATTGGTTACAGGGTTTTTAATACATGTGAATCGCACTAAACAATGTAAACCAAAATACTGTTAAGACAGTGGAAGTCACGTGAAGCTGCTAGCGCATGCGTGAACGAGTTTCTCGAATTATTAGGGAACTCCTCGAATTTTGGCGAACCCTCTTCTTTAGTATATAAGCCTGGCAGCGGAAGCCAGCAGGGTAATATAAAGTGTGTGTTTTGCACTCATAGCGAAGTTATCGAGATTATCAATTGCTGTGATTTATAGCAATAAAAGTTGTTAAGTTTAAAGTGACGAGAAACGTACTGACTGTGGACTTTCTGTGTACTAAAAGTTTGTATCGAGAAAGAATAA